TCTAAGTGAGCGCTATGTTCAATCTGTAAAAAAGCTACAGTGGTTGAAAAAATTGTTCACGTATACTGCTACTCTCAGTGTAAACGTGGCGCTCTCGCCAACAAACAATACCAAACACTACAAATTTGCATTAACGACTCGTCTCTAAGTAGACGTTAATGTGAAAGTTTTTAAGGTTTCGTTTCATATTTAAAAACTTTATTAAGAAAGCAAAATGTAATAAGCCGGGATGTGAACAATTTTTTCCACCGTACCAAAAATTTTATTAGTAGCGAGTATGTCCACCATTAGCATCAATAACTGCCTTTATTCTTGCTGGTATACTCTCTATGTAGCTTCGGCATACCTCATCAGTAAAAGAATTCCATTCTTTTTCCACTTGTTCCCAGAGTTCATGGATACCTTTGGCCTTCTGTTCATACGCACTCAGTTTGAGTTTAAGATGATTGTCGTGTTTACATAGATCACACATCTCTTAAGTCTCTATTTATTCATTCTCAGCTAATAGACGACGTCAGACATTTACAGTCATCATCCCTCATATATATTCAGGTCGTACCCTCATTTATTAGTTCTTCTCTCAGACTTATAATAAAAATAGTAATTGTTAGCTATTGACTCTTCACTGTTTTTCAACTATATAAGCACAAATATCACATTTTTTTCAATAAGTCAAACACTTACTACCACAACAACAACAATCAGAATGGCCGCTACTCGTTCATCTCGCTCTGTCAACAGTTTTAATCGCACATCAAGCCCCACCTCCTCCACTTCGACGGTTTCGTCAAGATCCGTTTCTCTCTCTCCTCGTTCTCCTTCTCGCTCTCTTCCTTGTTCTCCCTCTCGTTCACCTTCTCCTGCAGCGACATTTAGCTCAGGATACTCCAACCGTCCTGGCTCGCCCTCATACGTTGAGGTGGCTAGTGGTGCAGCTTCTTCCCTTTGTAGACAGCCTTCGTCTGTCAGCATCTCGGAGAAGTTCACTGCGTTGTCCTTGAGGAGGGTTTCCACCTCTGAAGACCGTGCTGGCAACACCCGTCAGCAACCCTTGGATGAGGATGTCGTAATGACGGAATCTTCTAAGGAAGGACAAATGCCTGGTTCTGGTGACCGTGTCACTGAGCCTGTGGGTCAGAATAGCCCAAACAATAAGGGTTATACGTCCAAGCTTGCTTCTTGGAAGGCAATGTTTGTTAAGATGTCGGACTTGGTAGATCAACTTATGCTGGAAATGATGGAGGAAGATGACCCAGTTAAGATTGAGCGACTTGACAAGAAGATTGCGTCATTGAGCAAGAATCTTCGTCTTCTTGAGGATCGTATCACTTCAGCAGAGAAGCCTACGAGTGGAAATGGTAACTTCGGTGCCAACACACCACAATTAGCTTCGGCTAAGGTTGTTAAACCTGTGGTTCCTATTGGGAGTATTCCGCCATTCAGGTTACTCCATGATGCTTCGTTTAACGCGAAATACTTTGGCGCAAACAAGGTGCGCCCAGAGGAAGTCGACAATGATAAGACTTTCAAAACGATCCACGACTTCTTACGTAAGTTTGAGTCTACGTTGCAGTATTACAACATCAATTTGGATGAAGAGTGGT